TGTATTTTATGATTTGAAACTGAATTTAATAAATATTGCATTACATTTTAAAATGGAAAATATTGCATTCATTGTCTGTGTATTTTTTCACATTTACCAAAGTTTCATATATTCAACTTCTCAGATGCATTCAAATTCAGATTCAAAACCAGAGACAACATGGATCCTGGCAGTAGCTATTCAGAAATTCTATTCTTCCACCTACTTTGGGCCAGAATATTTGGAATTCCTTTGCCTGATAAATAAGTGGCATGAATGAGCAAATGTACCAAACATAAAACTTCAGATATCTCAAACATCAGAACAATTACAAATGAACCATTACAAGTTACATCCCAGATGATACAGATCCTCTGAAGTTCTTGTGAAGTCATACTTCATTGCAATAATGCACTTGGTTTCATTAGTGAATTAACTAAGTAAATGAACAAAGCTTTCAGTCAGGTTTTAATCCGCCAAGTCTCTAATGAGTCAAGTTTGGAGTTCAATAAGGACATTGACCATGACTCTTTGCTGCTCAGTATGTGTAAGAAAATATTTGAAATGTATTTTTAGACCAAGGTTTAAATCCCTGAGGAGTTTGAAATGGAAACATTTGTCTGGATCTATAATGTAATTGGTCTCTAAGGTCTATAGTGTAGTTAGATGTCTAGTTGGTCTACAGTCGTGGTCAAACGTTTTGAGAATGACACAAATATTATTTTTCACAAAGTCTGCTGCCTCGGTTTTTATGATGACAATTTGCATATACTCCAGAATGTTATGAAGAGTGATCAGATGAATTGCAATTAATTGCAAAGTCCCTCTTTGCCATGAAAATGAACTTAATCCCAAAAGAACATTTCCACTGCATTTCAGCCCTGCCACAAAAGGACCAGCTGACATAATGTCAGTGATTCTCTCATTAACACATGTGAGAGTGTTGACGAGGACAAGGTTGGAGATCACTCTGTCATGCTGATTGAGTTAGAATAACAGACTGGAAGCTTGAAATCATTGTTCTTCCTCTGTTAACCATGGTTACCTGCAAGGAAACACATGCCGTCATCATTGCTTTGCAAAAAAAGGGCTTCACAGGCAAGGATATTGCTGCTAGTAAGATTGCACCTAAATCAACCATTTATCGGATCATCAAGAACTTCAAGGAGAGAGGTTCAATTGTTGTGAAGAAAGCTTCAGGGCACCCAAGAAAGTCCAGCAAGCGCCAGTACCGTCTCCTAAAGTTGATTCAGCTGCGGGATCGGGGCACCACCAGTGCAGAGCTTGCTCAGGAATGGCAGCAGGCAGGTGTGAGTGCATCTGCACGCACAGTGAGGCAAAGACTTTTGGAGGATGGCCTGGTGTCAAGAAGGGCAGCGAGGAAGCCACTTCTCTCCAGGAAAAACATTAGGGACAGACTGATATTCTGCAAAAGGTACAGGGATTGGACTGCTGAGGACTGGGGTAAAGTCATCTCTGATGAATCCCCTTTCCGATTGTTTGGGGCATCCGGAAAAAAGCTTGTCCGGAGAAGACAAGGTGAGCGCTACCATCAGTCCTGTGTCATGCCAACAGTAAAGCATCCTGAGACCATTCATGTGTGGGGTTGCTTCTCAGCCAAGGGAGTGGGCTCACTCACAATTTTGCCTAAGAACACAGCCATGAATAAAGAATGGTACCAACACATCCTCCGAGAGCAACTTCTCCCAACCATCCAAGAACAGTTTGGTGACGAACAATGCCTTTTCCAGCATGATGGAGCACCTTGCCATATGGCAAAAGTGATAACTAAGTGGCTCGGGGAACAAAACATCGACATTTTGGGTCCGGAAACTCCCCAGACCTTAATCCCATTGAGAACTTGTGGTCAATCCTCAAGAGGCGGGTGGACAAACAAAAACCCACAAATTCTGACAAACTCCAAGCATTGATTATGCAAGAATGGACTGCCATCAGTCAGGATGTGGCCCAGAAGTTAATTGACAGCATGCCAGGGCGGATTGCAGAGGTCTTGAAAAAGAAGGGTCAACACTGCAAATATTGACTCTTTGCATAAACTTAATGTAATTGTTAATAAAAGCCTTTGACACTTATGCAATGCTTGTAATTATACTTCAGTATACCATAGTACCATCTGACAAAAATATCTAAAAACACTGAAGCAGCAAACTTTGTGAAGGCCAATACTTGTGTCATTCTCATCTTTTGACCACGACTGTACAATCTGGTAGGTCTAGAGAGGTTGGAGGGGTGGGTGGAAATAGGAGATCTGCAGCAGTATGGTTGATATGATTGAAAGGCTTTTAGTGGATAGTCACTGTTGATCTAACAATGAATAACAAGTTTAGAATATTGAGTTTTATACAGCTTTGAGCATGAGAAAGGCCCAGTTGCATAAAACACCTTAACTTAATTTCCCCCTTATCTTTTCCCTTAACATTTCCTTAACTTTAAGTCAGTTGCCCAAAACATTTTAAGGTGAATTTCCCCCTTCATTCAGTATGGATATCAATGTAAACAGCATTTGTGTTGGTGAATGTTGCTTTCATCTGCTCTGGCTACTTAGCTAAACAATGGAAGGTGCACAATCCATGGCTACAAAGCTAGCTGGTAGTTAGCTATAGCTACTCTATAAGCTAGCTTGACATACTAGAATGTAATATAAACAAGTTGAGAAAAATGTACTACAAGAAAAATTGTTTATTATCTTCTGAAGCAATATGGTTATCCTGTCTTGACTGTAGAAGTTCTATTTTGCTATCTCACTAAATGAAAGCGATCTCTTTGAGGAGAGGTTTAATCAGTGAATCAGGCCGTCTCCATAGTAACCAGATACTCTTTCTTAAGTGCCTTCAAACTACCATAAAGCACCTTAAGTATGCCTTTACATAAGGGCATATTTGAGGGGCTCTATGCAACACCCTTAAACAATTCCCTTAGGTAAGGGAAAATTATTCCTTAAGGTAAACCCTTAAGGGAAACACTTAAGATGTTTTATGCAACTGGGCCCATAATTTAAGTAAATCCTCACTTTCATGGGGAGTCAGTGTAACTTTTGCTCCAGATCTATAGTGTTTTTATTCATGTATTTATATCTAAGGGAAGGTCATCCAATTATGGTGTTATATTTGACATGTAGCTTGTAAACTGGTCTGTGTTCATATTTCTTTTTATGAAACAGGAGGATGTGTTGCACTTTAGGTTGATAGTAGTGAGCAGAGCACAGCAGGTAAAACATTTCAGAAATATGGGTGTGGGTTTAATGACTTCAACACTGAGTAATGGCACTCAAGCTGCTCAATTTTGGATTATGGCCACATTTTGTGTGAATTGGCCTTCGGATCTCAAGCCTAAACGCCCGCACCCTGCTCTCTGCCCCTACCAATTTGGGCTGCTCAATTATTGAAGGTGGATTACTGCCATCTGCTGGATCCTAAAAATACTGCTGCTGTAATTAAATACATTACGACGCTTACGTTCGTACTGTTGATAACAACCATCAAAGCAACATTCTCAATGCAAATTAAAGGGCATTTCATTAATTTGGACATTTGCTCAGTACCTGAAGGGCGTCATTTCCAATACCACAGAGTTGCCAACACCGATTGGCTGGTGAGTGTTGAGCCAATAGCTTCTCTGTATCTATCTGCAGATCCAGAGGCATCAGGCAGCGTGTCCTTTGTTATCCTGGTCAAAAAAATGGTGGTACAAAATTCCCATGACATTCTGATTCATAATCCAGCTTTATTGTGGCCATGGAACCTTTGGGCCAGCATAGTGCCCACCAAAATTCTAATGACAAATACCATACGAGAGCTTTTATACATAAGCCCTACTTTCAGTGTTGTACACTTTCGTAATTACTATACCCTATGGGAGCAGCCAGAACATGTTGGTACTGAAGTTGAAAATAGATCTAAATATATGACTGAGTTTCTAGACCAGGGGCACAAATGAGCTTGATTTACTACAAGAAGTACCAGATACACCACATTGGTCTAGAACTGCTTTGCTTTATCTTGGCCAGGTCGCAGTTGTAAATGAGAACTTGTTCTCAACTGGCTTACCTGGTTAAATAAAGGGTGAAATAAAAATAAAAAATAAATTGGTACATATTGTTGAAATTAGGACAGGGATTGGTGTGTTTTACTTTGTTTTACTGAGCCAAAACCAACTGGAAAATGGGCTTTATGCTTCAAGTTATCCTTTGAAACGTCGAACTCCATACAAGTGTCATCTCTCAACTTTCAGTAGAAAAACACACTTGAAGCAAATGTAAACATGTAAAATCCTTGATGTTGTCTGGTAGCGTGGGATTGGTCATAACAGCAAAGCAACTTCCACTAATGTATCCTGGAGAGAAAGAGAGAGCATGTGGCAGTGGAGGGATCATTCAAATTATGTGAAAGGGACGCAGTATTCTAACACACAGGTAACATGTAAATAGCCTGATGTGGACACCAATTCAGAGGAAAACTATGTGAAAGTGTCTAGGTGTCATCGATAGGTAATACCACACAACATGAGAAAGAGAGAGAGAGAGAGAGAGAGAGAGAGAGAGAGAGAGAGAGAGAGAGAGAGAGAGAGAGAGAGAGAGAGAGAGAGAGAGAGATCATTAATCACTGTTGAGCATTCCATTTAAAAATGGTTTAATACTGTTCTAGAGTCAGATTGTCTCAGCACGGTAGGGTACAGCAGGGTTAGAGAGATATGCAAACTTAGTCATGGGGCCAGGCTTATTGCTTCTCAACAGGGTGTTGTAGGAGGAAGTAGTGTAGGACCTTGAGAGCTTCTGGATAGGGCTGAGTGACTGGACTGTGTGAATGGTCCTGTGAATGAGAGAGAGAGAGAGTGGGGGGAATCAGTAATCAAGTAATGTCAGACTTTCTCTGTATCATTGATCATCAGCCCCCCTGAAAGGCAGTGTAGTTATTCATTCCGCAAGGCAATCAAACAAGCAAAATGTCAGCATAGAGACAAAGGTGTCATGTTGGATATCGATGGCGGGAGTCCAACTACATCTAGATGGCGAGCTTTTCTGCTGCCGTGTTGGGATTTGATGTGTCGTCTTTTCCAGCCTCCCTTGCACTTCCTTCTCCTTTCTCTAATATCGCTGGTCGTCACTAGTTACCACAGCCAAAAAGTAATAAACCCCGCCTATTTCTACAACTTAAAACCAGATTTTAAACCTAACTCTAACCTTAACCACATTGCTAATCTTATGACTAACCCTAACCTTAAACGAAGACCAAATAGCACATTTTTGTTTTCATCAATTTTTACGAAATTGCCAATTTTGACTTTGTGGCTGATGTAACCAATATCTCTGGCTGTGTGTGTTGTCGGACCTCAGTGGGTGGGACCAAGCGATACCTCAACAACAAGATGGATTAATCGTGACAAATTAGGGAAACCCCGTCATTGACAACGTTCTATTTACTTGTGGCAAGTTATTCAGTGAAACACTATTTAAATGTCAGTTCTTAGGACATGAAGGTTGTTGGCACAACATCAACAATGCAGCTCTCTCCCACCAACGGAGATTTTACCTTCGTCTCATCAACTGAAGCAGAGGGTAATGTTAGCAGGCCGTGAAAACAGTCATATGCCTTTCATATTATTTTTAGTTTGCTAGCTAACTACCGTATTTGTCAACACGTCATTCTGCTAGCTTGACATTTAATTAAACTATTTAGCTAACCTTAAATCATAGTGTTGTCGTTTTTGTCAAGTTACGTTACCGTGGTTCAGAGAGGTTTGACAGCTTTCTGCAGCTACTACGGCTAGGCTAACGTTAGCAATCTAGCTAGCTAACGTTAGCAATCTAGTAAATCCAGCTATCTAACTACATATTATTCTACTGAAGATAAGCTTAATACATCACTCTCCTATCTATTTTGACTATTTGCATGTATTTATCATTGAGTACATAAAGTTGAATGCCATTTAGACAGTGGGACAAATAGGGGGACAATTATTTTCTGCATTCTACGTCCCTTTTTGTTTGTTTAACTGAGGTGATTTGGTCAAGCGTAAAACGTTATATCTAGAAAAAAATGTAGCCTTGATTGTGATACAGTTTTGGAAACCTTGAACATATACTGTACAGTTCAACAAGACTTAATTTCAATGCATGTTATGTGAACCAATAGTCGTTTACATTAAATTCCCTACAGATCTAAGCGGTACTATTGATGCCCCAGATGTTAAATTGAACATGGGCAGCGACAATGCAAAAGACCCATATGCAACCACATTCCTGAGGAAACGAGGCTATGGCTGGCTACTGGAAGTAGACGAGGATGACCCAGAAGACAACAAACCTCTTCTGTAAGGACCTTTTCAAGAAACCCATTCTTTGTCCATGCACATTGATATTAAAATGACACTTTAAATGTGCTGATATCTCACGATGCTCCTGTTCTGTCTCATATGCTTGTATGATTAGGGAGGAGCTGGACATCGACCTGAAAGACATCTACTACAAGATCCGCTGTGTGCTGATGCCAATGCCCTCCTTGGGCTTCAACCGGCAGGTTGTGAGGGACAACCCTGACTTCTGGGGTCCTCTGGCTGTAGTGCTCCTGTTCTCCATGATCTCCATCTACGGACAGTTCAGGGTGAGGTGGCAGGACAAGCTGTGAATTTTCTAGTCTAAGATCACACCAAAATATTTTGTTTTTTAGAGACTTTGGTGCCATGTCACAATTTTCAGCTTGAAAGTCGTGTTTTAATTATTCATTGCATTATTTTATTTCCTAAGGTCGTGTCTTGGATAATTACCATTTGGATATTCGGATCTTTAACAATCTTTCTGCTGGCTCGTGTTCTCGGTGGTGAGGTAAGATCCACCAAAATGTACCTTTTTTAGCTCAAATAATTCAAATTCCTAGTCTTGATGAGTAGTACATTTATCTTACTTGATACTGTACATGCCTCTTTCGATGTGAATATGCTTCCTATTACAACATGAATGATGTGGCATGCTGTGAAACACTGACTTGCATTGTTCTGTATCGGATAGGTTTCTTATGGACAAGTCCTTGGAGTGATTGGATACTCTCTACTCCCGCTCATCGTTATAGCTCCATTGCTTTTGGTCATTGGGGGTTTTGATGTTGTTTCTACACTAATAAAGGTGAGCATATGAGCAAAGATAATCAACATTTATTCTCTCACATTTTCCTCACAAGTTACTCTCTGTAATTCAGCATTGCACATTTGATTTAACATACACTAACATATTCAAAGCGTTTGTACATTTCTGCATTTGTTTTGTTTTGTTGATAATACAAATGTACACTTAAATCAGATATGAGTGTTTATTAGTTGTTAATAACTGTCTTTCATTTTTCAGCTTTTTGGTGTATTCTGGGCTGCTTACAGTGCTGCTTCTCTCCTCGTTGGGAATGAATTCAAAACCAAGAAGCCTCTTCTCATATACCCTATTTTCCTTTTGTACATCTACTTCCTGTCACTATATACTGGGGTCTGATTGGACAAATGGCTACTGTGGCACTTTGGTTGGAGACTGACACAAAGCACTGTGAAAAGACACACAAGGATTCATTTTTTAAACGTCATTTTCTCCTTCTTCTTTTAACTCTGTTTACAATCCTAGACTGTGGGGATATAAGGATATATGTTACGTCAGTGTATTTAAATGTGCCCCTTACCTCTTTGCTCAATAAAAAGCAGTAGAGTATGGTCTAAGCGCTGCATTCAGATTTAATTGTAATTAGATCCCTGGTTTGCATTAGCATCATAAGAGGACTGTAATTATTTAATCAAGGCGTGAAATATGGTTTTGGTAATCATATGGGGGACACATTGATTTTTGTTAATGCGTTTATTCCATAGAGGAAGGTGTTGCCAAATACAGTGCAAATATGCTCAATTAGAACCAAGGGTTTAAGAAAGACGTCAACCCCTAACTGAAGTTCCACCATTATTTTCTAAGGTAGTGGGTTTAACATACTGTTATGAATTATTTAGTTGTCATTTTATTCATCTTTTACAAACTTATCTTAACTTATGAATTTCAGCCTGTGTAGGCCAGTAGATGGGCAGTTTGAGTGAAATAAAAGTCTACTAAAGTTGGGTGCCTTTCATTAGTTGTTTTATACAGTTGTTTAATAATCTTTTATTGAACTGATGTATATTTTCCGACAACTTGTTTGTATCGATTGTATGTATACCTACTGTATATAGCTTAATGTGTTGTAGAGGTGTACATGTTCATGAACATGTGATAGTATCAGAACATGTTATACAATTGTGGAAAATAATTAGACCTGGAACAATAGTGATATTTATAAGTAATTCACAGTGGGGTGGGGTGGGGTGGGGTGGGGGGGTTAAAAGATATCAACATAATTGTCCATATAACTGTTGTACTGTACTAGATATTTTAAAATACATTCCCTCTCATATGTAAAGTGTTGTTATATCATCAATCTGCATGCCTGTAAAAAACTCAATTTCACACCCAAGCTTTTATGTAGGATTTACCATAACAATTAAAGACTATTGGCAGGGGGTTCAAATAAGTAATGTGGAATTTACAGTAAATAGAATACGAATTATTAGCTGTAAACACAATTAAAAACCTTTTTTGATATTATGTTAGTGTGTTCGGTTGACACATTGTATATAATAAGCTTTTAGAACAAATACTGTTAATTTGTTGTTGAAATGTGCCAATTTGACCTTAATCGTTATCGCAGAGTACATCTGAAATTGGGTATCAGAAATACGTAAATTAAAGTATACTAGGGGTAGAGGATGAACGGAAATGTGCATTGGTTTTACAGTAATGCGGTAAAGCCAATTTCTGTGTTATTGGGCGTCCGTCTTCAAGTGCTTTACAAATGATAAAAGGTGTCTTGGTGGGGTGCTAAAACTCACCTGACGGATTGTTGATCTGTACAGTAGGGGGGCGTTCGTTCGCTTGCTGTCGCGCGGTATGTTATAGGGACCACTTGCCGATTACTTTTAGGGTTTATTATTCGGGTGTCTTGGATGGGGATCTACTGTATATCCCAACATCAGGAAAGGGCTGTATCAAAAAGAAAATAGTCATAATTACATATATAACTCACATAGCTAGTAATTTATATTATCAGTGGGAGTCACAACAAACACCATTTACAGTGGGGAAATCATAACATTCACAAAACAAGATGTCATCCAAAGAGGTTCTCCGTCTGGAGTCAACTGAAGAACGTCAACATCGCAGTGCTCGCTCTGGGTATCGCGTCATGGCCAAGCACTACGCTAGTTCCGTTCACCTGACGTTCATCTGAGTGCAACGCTCGTAGCTTTCTCAGTACTGATGGTGAATAGCTACTGCTGCGGTAATCGGCGGGGGAACAGAAGCCGCAGAAGGAGAGTCAGCAGTAGTAGAGGAGCGGTAGTTTGGGATTAAGCCTTTACAATTATTAATCTTACTCGTATAAACGGAGCTTCCTAAAAACAGATAGAAGGGAACGGGGAAAATAAAGAAAGATGGCGGCCGCGGCCTCGCCGGGCTCCTGCTCGTCCAACTCCTCAGACTGGATTGTACTGAGAGACGGTTGCCTTCGTTGTGACGAGGAGGGCCTGCGGAGCCTTTCCTACCACCCGGCCCTTAACGCTATCCTGGCGGTTACTAGCCGGGGCAGTATAAAAGTAATCGACGGCACTTCAGGGGCCATTCTCCAGGCCTCGGCCTTGCATGGTAAGTCAGGGCCAAGGAACTAGCTAACTGTTTTAGCTAGGTATCTAACAATCAGGTGATTGTCAGAACAATCAGATGAAACGACACTGGTCAACAATGTAACGTTACCTTGGGCCTGCTGTGGGGGTTGACTTGGGCTAAATTAGGTAGCAAACTAAACGTAAACGTTAGAATTTATCGTGAATCACTTGCTAAACAAATATTTTTTTGTTATCCGATTCCTATAAAAATAACTTGAATACCTAAGTAGCTAGCTAGCTAACATAGTTAGCTAGTTACATGTCTTAGACTAGTCATGCTGTCAATACGTTTTGCTAACTAACTAGCTAATGTCAACGTTAGCTAACTAGCGATTTGTTATGAAAACAGCTCTCGGACCATGAACTAACTGGCTAAGCTAGCGAACACGCTAACGTTGTATAACGTTTCGTGTCAACGTTCAATCAATCGTTAATGTGCCTAATTAGTTAGCTATTATGACACTTAACAACTTTCTTAGATAGTTAGCCTCTATGAATGGGGTAGGTAACATGTCACTAGTTCATGTTAGTTACCTAGCTAGATTGTAGTCAGTGGTAGCTACCTAGCTAATTGTGATGACACGACTCCGCCTAGCTAGCTAGCTAACATTAGTGAGCTAACGTTTCGTTGGCTGTGTTGGGCCAAGGAAGCAAAATGTGCCCATTGTGTGACGGCTGGCTAGCTAACGGAGTTAGATAGCTATCTGTAAAGAAAGTGTTTGAGGACTAATTCAGTCACATTACTTACAATGTGCCGTTTCAATTAACTAACGTTAGCGAGCTAACGTTACCCCGGTGAAGTCACATTCGTTAGTTGGTTAACGTTAGTTGGCTACATAGCTAATAACGTTAGCTAGCTTGCTAGCTAAGATGTCAATTAATCGGTGAACACCGGCACCGCGCATACATGTCGCAGTAAATGTTAGCAAGCTTGTTAGTAATAGCTAGGTAGTTTATTGTATACTATTGATCTAGTTAGGTACTTGGCTAGAAAGGTTATGAAATGTGTTGCTATTCCTACTACGCAGAACGAGCGAGTATGCAATGCCTGTTGGCAATCTAACGTTAGCTAATAACGTTAAGTTAGTGTTGTAGCTGTAACATTTTGGGAGGAAAATGGTTGACAATAGTGAATATGCTTGGCTTTAGTGTTTGTGACAATTTATATTTTGACGATGCCAAACAATAGAAAACATTGGTGTTTGTTCTTCAACGTGACCCCCGTCTGTAGCTACATTGAATCCAGAGGCTGGTGGGAGGAGCTATGGGATGACGGGTTTTGCCCTAGCACTACACAGCTGACCTTAAAATTACTTGAATCAGCTGTGTAGTGTTAGGGCAAAAACCGGAACGTGCACCCCTTGGGGTCCCGAGGACAGAGTTTGGTTAACACTGCATTACATGCACACAATAATGCAATTAGTGAGTATGGTTACATGCACACAACAATGCGATTGTGTATCGTCATGCTCTGCAAGATTAACGATTTCCCTAATAAGCCTGTTTACATGGACACTTAAATCAGGCACTCTGATGAATGCAGAAAATCGCCAATCAAAATAAACGTGCTACCACAGCAGACATGTTATTTTTGGGAAGCATATTTAATTCTGAGTTGGGACATAAAGTTTGTACAGTGCATTCAGAAAGTATTCAGACCCCTTGACTTTTCACTCATTTTGTTATGTTACAACTTCATTCTAAAATTGATTAGTTTTCTTCCATCATCAATCTACACAATACCCCATAAGGACAAAGCAAAAACAGGTGTTTTAAATTTTTTGCACATTTATTACAAATAAAAACCTGATCACGTTTACATAAGTATTCGAACCCTTTACTCAGTACTTTGTTGAAGCGCCTTTGGCAGGGATTACAGCCTCACGTCTTCTTGGGTATGACGCTGTACAGAGATATTCCATCGGGTTCAAGTCCGGGCTCTGGCTGGGCCACTCAAGGACATACAAAGACTTGTCCCGAAGCCACTCCTGCTTTGTCTTGGCTGTGTGCTTAGGGTCTTTGTCCTGTTGGAAGGTGAACCTTGGCCCCAGTCTGAGGTCCTGAGCACTCTGAAGCAGGTTTTCATTAAGGATCTCCCTGTACTTTGCTCCGTTCATCTTTCCCTCGATCTTGACTAGTCTCCCAGTCCCTGCCGCTGAAAAACATCCGCACATCATGATGCTGCTAGCACCATGCTTCACCGTAGGGATGGTGCCAGGTTTCCTCCAGACGTGAGGCTTGGCATTCATGCCAAAGAGTTCAATCTTGGCCTCCCGAGTGGCGCAGTGGTCTAAGGCACTGCATCGCAGTGCTAGCTGTGCCACTAGAGATCCTGGTTCGAATCCAGGCTCTGTCGTAGCCGGCCGCGACCGGGAGACCCATGGGGCGGCGCACAATTGGCCCAGCGTCATCCAGGGTAGGGGAGGGAATGGCCGGAAGGGATGTAGCTCAGTTGGTAGAGAATGGCGTTTGCAACGCCAGGGTTGTGGGTTCGATTCCCACAGGGGGCCAGTATGGAAAAAAAAAAAATTAAAAAATGTATGCACTCACTAACTGTAAGTCGCTCTGGATAAGAGCGTCTGCTAAATGACTAAAATGTAAAAAAATCTGACCAGAGAATCTTGTTTCTCATGGTCTGAGTACTTTGGGTGCCTTTTGGTTAAGTCCAAGCGGGCTGTCATGTGCCTTTTACTAAGGAGTGGCTTCTGTCTGGCCACTCTACCATAAAGGCCTGATTGGTGGGGTGCTGCAGAGATAGTTGTCCTTCTGGAAGGTTCTCCCATCTCCACAGAGGAACTCAGGCCACTGTGTTCTTGGGGACCGTCAATGCTGCAGAAATGTTTTGCTACCCTTCCCCAGATCTGTGCTTCGACACAATCCTGTCTCGGAGCTCTACGGACAATTCCTTCGACCTCATGGCTTGGTTTTTGCTCTGACATGCACTGTCAACTGTGGGATCTTATATAGACAGGCATGTGCCTTTCCAAATCATGTCCAATTGAATTGACCACAGGTGGACTCCAAGTTGTATAAACATCTCAAGGATGATCAATAGAAACAGGATGCACCTGAGCTCCATTTTGAGTCTCATAGCAAAGGGTCTGAATACTTATGTAAAGAAGGTATTACATTGTTTTTTTTGTTTTTTATTCCAAAAATTATAACCTGTTTTTGCTTTGTCAATATGGGGTATTGTGTGTAGATTGAGTACAAAAAGAAAATGTTATCCATTTTAAAATAAGGCTGTAACGTAACAAAATGTGGGAAAGGTGAAGGGGTCTGAATACTTTACAAATGCGAACTACTTCCAAGATGCATACGTTCAGTTGTTACGAACTTACTTCACTTGCGCTAAAGAGGGAGCCTCGCTCGTCAAATACACCACTGGAACGCCGATTTAAGGTGTTTACATGTCCTAATAATTCAAAAGATTGCTCAGAAAACCAGGTGTTTTAATCGGCACATGCTTACTTCGATTTTTACCGTATGCAAATTAAGGTAAAGTGTTTACATGACTATTGCATAATCTGCCTCCTGCCATAATTAGTTTAAAATCAAATTATTAGTGTGCATTTAAACGTAGTCATTGTAATGGCTGGAATGGCATAAATGGAACAGAGTCAAAAATGTGGTTGCCATATGTTTGTGTTTGATACTGGTCAATTTATTCCATTCCAGCCAATACAATGAGCCCGTCTTCCTATAGCTCCTCCCACCATCCTGAGGACAAACATCTGGGTGTATTTTGATTCCCTTCTCCCCAGGATTTTTTAACAAGGTGGTGGTGCTGCAGAGTATGATGGGCAGTGACCCCCTTTGGACACAGAGATTTGTATGTTTTTGAAGACCTGTAACTGCCCTTTCCTGCAATCTAGAGCAAAAAATACTAAATTAGGGTGTGGTGCCTGGCCTTAATTGATAACAAAGTAAATCAATAATGTCTCCTGAGTGGCGCAGTGGTCTAAGGCACTGCATCGCAGTGCTAACTGTGCCACTAGAGATCCTGGTTCGAATCCAGGCTCTGTCGCAGCCGACCGCGACCGGGAGACTCATGGGCGGCGCACAATTGGCCCAGCGTCGTCCAGGGTAGGGGAGGGAATGGCCGGCGGGGATGTAGCTCAGTTGATAGAGCATGGCTTTTGCAACGCCAGGGTTGTGGGTTCGTTTCCCACGGGGGGCCAGTATAAAAAAATATATATGTATTCACTAACTGTAAGTCGCTCTGGATAAGAGCGTCTGCTAAATGACTAAAAATGTAAATGTAAATGTAATAATGTAGTAAAAGTATTTAGACTTATTTTTTACATAGTGTTGCAGCCAATCCACAAGGTGGCACACTTGAGTGAACTTACTACAGTAGTAGCTATCAACTGAACCTATTTGCTGAACTGAAGTACTTTACCCTTTCGTGGCTTTTAGTGTTTTCGTCAATGTGGAATCTGCTGTAAAATGACTTGCAGAGGAGGTTCTACCTTCAGCAAATCCATCTTTCCACCTTTCGTCACCATGAGTTTTATTTCTTAGTTTCTATGCATTTTGAATGTGGCACACTAATGGCGCGTGCACACGTTGCATCATTACATTGCCGTACGATACATTTGACGTAGTCTTCACAAACCAGGCGCATCACAACAAAAAGAATCACGCTACACATTTAACACATTTTTTGGTGGTTTATCTACTGATTTTCCTGATACCGAATGTCAAAGCAATGCAAAAATGTTGAAAATCTGACTCTGGGGAAGTAGATAAAAGGCATCATTGCCAAAATCTCGAAGTATCCCTTTAACATTGATTCTGGGAATTGCCTTAATGTCAACAGTGGAGATTAACTGAACCAACAAACAGATTGAGTTTCTGAGAATATCACTTTGTCACAGACTTAAAGCTTCCTACAAAGTCTAAGGCCAAAATCTGTATTACTCTTTGACTCGAGGTCAAAGATCACATGCAAGGATGAGGAATTGTTTTTATACAGACTATTTAGGAAGGCAGGTTGTCTCACTTAGAATCTTGAAGTGCCACACAGTTTTGGGGTGGTGGGTGCATGCGGAGGAATACTAGGCCTATATAGTATTTATTTGCAGTGAGGATAATTAGTATGTGATGATGAATTCCATTGCGAAAGTTGATTAATCTAACCTTAACAGCCCAATTTTCATCTAGGTGACCCTAAAGGTCATATCGTCATCCATTACCGTTACTACAGTGCGTTTTGCCTCCAACCTATATTTTGGCAAATTATGCACCACTGGCAGGAACAATCTTCAGTCTTGTCCATTTATTTTATTCCTTGTACTGCTAATTGGCTCAAAATTAACAATTAGACTCCGGGCACAAGGGAGGCCCTTTTCCTGGTCCAGGTCTTTGACAGCCTCTTCTCTTTAGTGGCTGACACTGCAGCATTTCTTACGCACTACAGGTGAATTGGAATTGTAGGCAACATGTTGATCATGTTGCTTGTCCTCTGAGGACTGCTCCTTGGCAGAGGACAGAATCTCAGATGACAGTCAACTACATTCAAAAATGTATATCTTGACTTTGGATCATATGGCTTGAGTGAATACTGTATTAGTGTAAGACAAGTGCGCTCATCTGCCATAATCCACCGATTCATTGTGTGTAAAATACAATGCTTGGGCTTTCTGTTAGTATGGCCACTTAATCCTATACAGTACATTCGGAAAGTATTCAGACAGTTGACTTTTTCCACATTTGTTACATTACAGGCTTATTCTAAAATGAATAAAATAAAAGAATCCTCATCAATCTACACACTACCCCATAATGACAAAGTGAAAACATGGTTAAAAACATATACCTTATTTACATAATATTCAGACCCTTTGCTATGAGACTTGAAATTGAGCTCAGGTGCATCCTGTTTCCATTGATCATCCTTGAGATGTTTCTACAACTTTATTGCAGTCCACCTGTGGTAAATTCAATTGATTGGACATGATTTAGAAAGGCACACCTGTCTATATAAAGTCCCACAGTTGACAGTGCATGGCAGAGCAAAAACCAAGCCATGAGGTCGAAGGAATTGTCCATAGAGCTCTGAGACAGAATTGTGTCAAGGCACAGATCTGGGGAAGGGTACCAAAATATTTCTACAGCATAGAAGGTTCCCAAGAACAGTGGCCTCCGTCATTCTTAAATGGAAGAGGTTTGCAACCACCAAGAATCTTCCGAGAGCTGGCCGCCCGGCCAAACTGAGCAATCGGGGGAGAAGGGCCTTGGTCAGGGAGGTGACCAAGAACCCAACGGTCACTGACAGAGCTCCAGAGTTCCTCTGTGGAGATGGGAGAACCTTCCAGAAGGACAACCATCTCTGCATCACTCCACCAATCAGGCCTTTATGGTAGAGTGGCCAGACGGAAGCCACTCTTCAGTAAAAGGCACATGACTGCCCACCTGAATGACAAGCGTCACGTCTGGAGGAAACCTGGCACCATCCCTACGGTGAAGCATGGTGGTGGCAGCATCATGTTGTGTGGATGTTTTTCAGCGGCAGGGACTGGGAGACTAGTCAGGATCGAGGGAAAGATGAACGGAGCAAAGTACAAAGAGCTCCTTGATGAAAACCTGCTCCAGAGCGCTCAGGACCTCAGACTGGGGCCAAGGTTCACCTTCCAACAGGACAACTACCCTAAGCACACAGCCAAGACAACGCAGGAGTGGCTTCAGGGCAAGTCTCTGAATGTGCTTGAGTGGCCCAGCCAGAGCCCGAACATCTCTGGAGAGACCTAAAAATAGCTGTGCAGCGACGCTCCCCATCCAACCTGACAGAGCTTGAGAGGATCTGAAGAGAAGAATGGGAGAAACTCCACAAATACAGGTGTGCCAAGCTTGTAGCGTCGTACCCAAGAAGACTTGAGGTTGTAATCACTGCCAAAGGTGCTTCAACAAAGTATTGAGTAAAGGGTCTGAATATTTGTGTAAATGTGATATTTCCATTTGTTTGAATATACATTTGCAATTTTAAAAAACTGTTTTTGCATTTTTAGGGTGTGTGTAAATTGAGGACGTTAAAAAAAGTAATATATTGATATTTTTAGAATAGGGCTGAAAGGTAACAAAGTGGAAAAAGTCAAGGGTTGTGGATATTTTCAGAATGCACTGTATGTAGCCTATTGTTCATCCTTATTTCCCAGAGTAATGGCAATGGGGAGTAACTTGAACCAGGTTGAATTAGCATTTTACATTACAGCACAGAATGAAGTGGTAATAACATAGTAAATGCTACAAAAGGCTTTAGGGTTGTTTTTGGGGGGGGGGAATTCATTGTGAGTAGCTAACATTACAGTAATAATAATGCTACCCAATAGAAAACACACGTTTTGTCAAATGTTAATAGGCTTTCCATTTTCATGCGTCGATTGTAACCGCAACATGCAAGTTCAGCTCATCAATGTTTCAAAGACTAACTTAAAAGATTTAGTCTGTTTTATCTGATTAATATGATGGACTTAAATGATGGACTTACGATCTGACAACAAAAGTCCAGCCAATGCTATGTCTCAGAAGCTACACCACTCTAATACCCTGATGTTTGTGTTTCCTAGCAAAACCTGGAGGCCGTGTAAGGTGTCAGTACTTCCCTGCGGTAGACAAGGTCCTCTTCGTGGATGACTACGCAGTGGGCTGCAGAAAGGACTTGAACGGCATCCTGCTGCTGGACACAGCCCTGCAGGCCCCCGTGGCCAAACCAGAGGACATGGTCCAGCTAGAGCTGCCCGTTACAGAGGTAAGAGAGTCAGCCACCGACACGACACACAATGCACTCGCACAGAGCACTTGCAAAAGTTGGCAAAGTCACATTTGTGACTTGACGAAGACAGCTTTTAAACCCATTGACAGAATCACTAACCTTCATATTATCTTAAACAATTGTCTTACAGTACCACACACAATGAACAACAATTGTCAATGCTCAAACAGTTAACGTGCTACTTTGGCTGATTGTCATCTTACATTATTAAAAACATAAAAAAAAATAATGTATCTATTTCTTAATACATTTTTAATAGGGCCGCGACGATGCTAGTATCACAATACTCGTTAGGATCGTGGCAAGAAAACAAAACACAAAGCGGATTTAACGTCTTTAGGAAAACAGCCCTACTGCATTATGTTAAGATTAAGAACTTTGTTGTTATCCAGAGTCAAATGTATTTATTTTCCAAGCCATAGCACACTATTGTACATACAGCAGTTTGTTAAGAGTTAGGTCTGCTTAGTGTTTTCATTTTCGTCATGGAAAAAATATTACGATCCTAGTTTTGTCACAGCCCTAATTGTTACTGTTGTGAGTGCAAGTTAGGAGACAGATTTTGATCATTTTAAATATGTCCCACTACTGCAAGCATTGTCTACCTAGCTACAAGATCACACAAACCCGTCGACAGGCCTGCTTAGTAATGTAGAAAGACTGGTCCACCGTGAGCGAGCGCACATGCTAACTGTGGAGAATCCACCACTCCCATTAATTTATGTCTGAATAAGTATGACAATGCTTGGCCTGTGCAAATGCCTCATACTTGGTGAAAAATGTGATCTACGCGTTCAAATAAAGATGGCAATTGATCCATTACGCCCCTGAAATGATTAATGATTTACATTTACGTCATTTAGCAGATGCTCTTATCCAGAGCGACTTACAAATTCCTTATACCTTATAGCCAGTGGCATAACCACTTTACAATTGTTATTTATTTTTTTTGGGGGGGGGGGGGGGGGGGGGGGGGTAGAAGGATTACTTTATCCTATCCCAGGTATTCCTTAAAGAGGTGGGGTTTCAAATGTCTCCGGAAGGTGGTGAGTGACTCCGCTGTCCTGGCGTCGTGAGGGAGCTTGTTCCACCATTGGGGTGCCAGAGCAGCGAACAGTTTTGACTGGGCTGAGCGGGAACTATGCTTCCGCAGAGGAAGGGGAGCCAGCAGGCCAGAGGTGGATGAACGCAATGCCCTCGTTTGGGTGTAGGGACTGATCAGAGCCTGAAGGTACGGAGGTGCCGTTCCCCTCACAGCTCCATAGGCAAGCTCCATGGTCTTGTAACAGATGCGAGCTTCAACTGGAAGCCAGTGGAGTGTGCGGAGGAGCGGGGTGACGTGAGAGAACTTGGGAAGGTTGAACACCAGACGGGCTGCGGCATTCTGGATGAGTTGTAGGGGTTTAATGGCACAGGCAGGGAGCCCAGCCAACAGCGAGTTGCAGTAATCCAGACGGGAGATGACAAGTGCCTGGATTAGGACCTGTGCCGCTTCCTGTGTAAGGCAGGGTCGTACTCTCCGAATGTTGTAGAGCATGAACCTACAGGATCGGGTCACCGCCTTGATGTTAGCGGAGAACGACAGGGTGTTGTCCAGGGTCACGCCAAGGCTCTTCGCACTCTGGGAGGAGGACACAACGGAGTTGTCAACCGTGATGGCGAGATCATGGAACTGGCAGTCCTTCCCCGGGAGGAAGAGCAGCTCCGTCTTGCCAAGGTTCAGCTTGAGGTGGTGATCCGTCATCCATACTGATATGTCTGCCAGACATGCAGAGATGCGATTCGCCACCTGGTTATCAGAAGGGGGAAAGGAGAAGATTAGTTGTATTTAGAAAGTGGTGCTCATGATGGTGCTCATCCTTGTTTCATGTCCTTTATCTCTTGCCTGTGGCGTTTGTAGCACCTGGTTACACTTTAACTTTCTAAATTGATCTATTTGAACAGAGCATTTCCCCCTCTAATTAGTCAATATAGCCTACAGACAATTGCAATTGGCCCCATTGTGGTATTCCAACCTTTTCCTGAAAGGGATGCACAGACTGCAATTATAATTTCATAGTAGGGTTGGGCAATATTACAATAGCATCGTTTATCGACGATAATTGACCATCATCGTCGATGGTGACGACATTGTGATGTGACAGACGATGGTTTAGCCTATTTCAACTTGACTGGCGCCATGCAGTAAAAAGCTGAGTTGCAGCACACCAGTGACATTCTGGATAATTTGCCTATTCCTATTTGCTATAGCCTATTTCAATAAATCTGTTCTATAACAAACAGAACGCAAGAGAATAATGTAGGCCAGACGGAGCAGAGAATTCCTCCAAAGCACTGCAAAATGTCCAGTCAGAAAATATTGTTTCTCTGTCGGATGCATGGGCATTAGGCTATAGCTTAAACCTTTTATTTTATTTTTTATAACGGACACTCCTTAACTATGTTGTCTAGCTGTTTAAAAAATCATATGCTATTCACTTCTCTCTCCATTCGATAGGCTATGAATTTGACTGAAGGCTATGCTTCGTTCTATGCATGGCTTTCTCCCGATCAAACAATGAATGTAACGGAGTTCCATCTCAAAGTTATTTGAATAGACTAAAAAAGTAAGGTAGCCAGAGGACTAATAATGAGGGAACATTCAATATCAATAGCCTATAGAAAAATCTAATTACAAGTTTAAGCTTATTATGAAGGAAATTATCCATGCGGGCCGAGAAATCCCTCCATGTGAGGTTGAAAACCAAATGGCCAATAACCTATCCTCCTACTAACCCTATCATAAAAGGTTTAAGATAAGTTAAAATTATAAACAGTAGCTTATTGAACAAATATTCTAGCATGCAAAGGTGTTATCCTAAAGTTGTTGTGGCTTTAAAAATAACCAGAATGAAAGTCTATAGCCTAGGCATAGGCTATTCTTAATCACAGCTTTATTATTTTAGAATTCAAATCAAGCAATTATTATCCAGTTATGAAGACTGTAGACTGCTTTTGTCCAGCCCATGATGAAGTCCTAGAACCTAGCTCACTACGGTAGACAGCCCGTTCCTCATCAGTTACTGCTCCATCATGTACGTGCCACACACACCTGTTCTGCTCCACCAGAAAGGAATATTTGCTATTGCCTGCAATTACTCTGCCCGCAATTAGCCTTTACCCAGGTTTAACATTATCCTTCGTTATGATTCATCCAGCTGCATTAGATTTCCCTCAATAGCCAACTGTTTTTGCAGAGATTTTTGTATTTTTATTAAATGAAAAGTTCTAAGAGGGTGGCCAATAGGGGCGATAGCATCGTATATCACAATGTTTTATGGGTACATAATCATGATAGGACAAAGGTCGACATCACCCAACCTTATTTCAGAGAAAGCCTTAGTGCAGGGTTCCCCAACTGGCGTGTAGTTTTATTTGCCTTTTTTTTTTCTGTCTTTGTTGGACATAAGACTGTAAAAACACCAGGAAATCAGCTCCAAGTGATTTTAATTTTGGAAATCTGTTCCCAAGTATTCCCAAGCATTATTATAGAGAGATCGTATAGAAATGTAAGCAAGGTTTGAAATGATTGTTTTAGTCAAATATTATATGTTTGGGCTTCTTGCGGTCAATTTGCAGTCTACAAATTATTTGTAATTCTGTTCCGGCCCACCCGACCATCCTCTCAAGAAAACATCGACCCGTGGCTGAATCTAGTTGATGATCCCTGCTTTAGGGTTTATATTGCTGAGTTGCCAATGCATTGTAATTGTAGAATTTATTAGGTACGCCACCCCGTTCACAAAAATGGATCGCTCCTACAGACGGTGAGTCACGTGGCCTTGGCTTGCTATATAAAGCAGGCAGACAGGCATCGAGGCATTCCGTTAGTGTTCGATTTAACATTTAGAATGGGCAAAATGAGTGACCTTAGCGACTTTGAGCGTGATATGATCGTTGGTGCCAGGCGTGCCAAATCCAGTATTTCAGAAACCGCCGCCCTCCTGAGCTTTTCATGCACAACAGTGTCTAGGGTTTACCGAGCATGAATGTACCACCATCCAATATGCAGCAACTGTGTCAGCATGGACCATCATCCCTGTGGAACATTCCCCGAAGAATTCAGGCTGTTCTGGAGGCAAAGTGGTGTCCGACCCGGTACTAGATGGGTGTACCTAATTAACTGGCCGGTGAGTGTAGGCTACTAAGTTGTTGGTCAATATTTAGTTTTTTAGGCTACACACTGGAAATTGAATTTGGAAATGCATATTTTCAGTGCCTGATTAGACACTGACTTCTTTTAATTATTTTGTATTTATTTAAACAGCTTCTTGTTGTACCACCCCATCAAGTCATAGCAAGTTTAGCCAGATTGTTGTAACCCTTGACTGTTGCAATCTCGTTGGTTTCAAAGCAAGGCTTACTTTGCTTTATGACCTTTGGCTGTTTATGTGCCACATGTCTAAACATTTTTTGCTTTAAATCATTACCGGCTATCTGGTGTGGTTTGCTCACAGGCAGTAGGCAGGCCAAAGTATTCAGAGAGACTTTTCCCCCTCATTCCTCTGAGAGACTGATGCTGTTTTAATCATCACCACCGGCAGGCGGTTAATAGATCTGAGCACAAACAGCCTATATTACAGGATTAGTTGTACCTCACAGCCAAGACCTTTGTAGCTCAGTTTGTAGGTGGTCCTTTGTAGCTCATTTGGTAGAGCATGGTGCTTGTAACGCCAGGGTAGTGACTAGTTTTACCGAATCGTTCAGTATGGGGACCTCGGTTCGGTCCGCACTGTGAACCTGAATGAATAATAACAAAAATATATTTAAAAATAAATAAAACACTAGGCCTATAGGCTATGCCTACGCTGTGTTGTATGCCATTGCCTCGTCAGTAAATCTAAGCAGAATGTTTTTTGTGTGGCTATTCCATTAAAACAACTACAGCATAAGCACATGTTGTAAGCAATCAAAATTGTCATCTTAACTGGCAGATT